CTCCCGTTAGATGACATCGACGACAACACTGATAACCCTCACCATCCCAACGGGGACTGATAATCGTTACAACAACAACAACAACAACAACGACAACTTATCTAATCCATACAACAACTACAAAATTCATAATCTACTTACCGATCCAAAAGGGGATCGATCAACAACAGACAACTCTTGAACATTGCAGCTGGTTAAAGCCCTACTTATCCAGAATATAACTTAACATACCAAATACATATCCTGCGCACAATGAGTTTTCGTATGATACCACCTATTTGCATTTCTTATGAATTCTATGACTGATGACAATTAACATGCGAATTCCTACTAAAGCACTGTGTGGACAGCCGCTACAATAACCTATCTTCGATTCATATATTAACAATAGGTTACTAACCAAAACTTAACCACATTACACAAATTACTAACATGGTTTTTCAACATACTTATAATTCTACACTCATTCGAGGCTGGTTGTTACTTTTCATTGAGGGTGTTTTTTTACGAGGCGGGTCCCAAACCCAGCGCACAACCCTATGTAGGGTAAAAAAAAATAGTCGTTCAAAAAATATACTTATAAAGTTAAAAGGTTTTTTAAATTTTATATGTATTTTGAATTAACTACAATATGTAAATATAATTTCAAGGCTACGAACCTGTTTAAAGAATTCCATGCACTGTGAATAGAAGATGAACGTGCGTGGGTAACGCTGTAAGAACGCGTGCATTAATGTAGTGCACAGGTTGTTTGAGCTGTTGTTTGCATTGCCGGCATTATTACAACCGCCGCTGGATTGTTGCGCTAATGGCATGCTACTATCATCATCAGCAGGGTTTCGTATAGAATGTGAATCATTTGCCGATGCTCCATTAAAGACGCAAGCACTGATACATCCAACATTGCTATTTGCCGCCTGACTATTACTGGTGGCAATGAAATTTAAACATTTACAAGAAATCTGCATTTTCACGGCAGTGATAGTGTTCTTCCTTGGTGAAGGAAGTTTTAAATTTTTGTCTAACACAAGAGATTAGACTTATTTATAGTTTTTAAACAAAACCCCGGCAGTGAAGTTATAGATTCTTAAGCTTTTATAACCTTTATATACAATTATTTATTTCCTTTTTTAAACAAAAAAAAACAAATTATACACACTTTTGAATTAGATAAGTACTTGCTTATAGTTCTTGCTTATAGTTTTAAATCCTTCTCTATATAAATAGTGAATGATTGAATTTCGTTTCCTTTAGCAATTATCTTAAGGTTTTTATGGCTTTCATTCAATCCCTTAGGTATACTTTGTTACTTGATTCTTTTCACCCCAAAGTTTTTCTTTGATTGGTATGTGATTTTTTAATCGTTTTCCCTTCCACACTTTTCTTGGCACCTAACCTTTAGTAGATTTAAAACACTTGTTTATTTTAATAAGTTTTTTAAAGATTCGAAATTTTCTAACTCGATTTCTATAACCGCATATATAATAAAAAGTCACAATTTAATAATAAACGAGCACTTTTTATGTAAATATTACTCATTTCACATACAATTTGGAACTTTGACGATCCGCACTACACCAACAACTCGCACGAGTGAAACAACGAGAAATGAATATGAACTGACATTGCCAGTGTTGTCAAAAATCTTGATTATAGATGTTGAATAATTAAACAGTTTGCAGTACAAAAGAATACATATATATTGTTTAATTTTATAATATTTTTGGTAAATGATCAGGTGAGCGACTTTTCCGAAAATGTTCACCAATTTCCCCGGGAAACCCGAAATTAATATATTCGTAAATTGGAATTAAAAACACGAATTTTAAGACATTTCCCGTGAAAATTGGTGCACAATTTCGGAAAAGCCGCTCTCAAGAACATTTACCATATTTTTTTTTTAACTTTAACCCTTTGAAATAATATATCTAATACTTAACATATAAATTTATTAAGGATATATTTGTTTCAAATAATTTTCTCTGAATTAAGAGCATGCAACACTTTTTGGAAAATAAATCCTAGCGGAACGATTTAAAAAGGGCCACAGAGTTGATTCATTAAAGAAATTATTAAAGTGAAAATAAATATAATATATCTAGAAACATTACAAACAAAAACTCTGACATTTTTATATGTACCTTACTTAGGTATTAAATTATTAAATAAATTTTAATTTGTCCAATATGATGAAAGTTAGCACATATAAAAATCAGCAAAAACAAAAATTATTATTATTATTATTATTATTTACTATTCGAGATTTGGTAACTCTATCGAGGATAATTTAAATTCTTTTACTGCAGGTTGCGATTATATTTCAATTAAATAATTATAAATTAAAAAAAAACATGTTTAGACCTGAGACTGAAGATATGTTACCTCGATGTGCCCCAAAACCAAGTGTTCCTCTGGATATGAATACTGCGGGTATAGTACGTCCAACCGTGCCTGAACTATCAATATTATTTGGAGCGCAACAAGGTCCTCCTACAAGTACATCCACTTTGCCTGCAGCTACATCGGAACCGACGCAACCAACGTATGCAGCATGGAAAAAGCAAGTACTGCCGAAGGTTTCATTTCCACCGATTGGCGCTGAAGTATATAGTATAAATGGCCATGTAGTAAATTCAACCAATGTTATTTCTGCTCCAGCAAAGCCAATTCTCGTTAATCAGCCCTCCGCTGCTGATAATACACCAATAACATCAAATGTTTATCCACAAAGATCTATTGCAGTAAACACAGCACCAATGTGCCCCGTTGGAAATTCTATAGATGTTACATCTAGATTAGGTGGATCAATGCAGTTGCCGCAATATCGAAGAAATTTAGATCCACCATTGACTATACAAGAAATCAAAGAAGATAATGTAAATAGCCGAGTTCCTGATATTCCGACAATAATGGCACATCAGCAAAATCAAAAACTTTTCACGGCCAAATCGGACGTACTTACAATTTGTGCAGGTACGCAAACCGATTTATCATTGGTTTCTGATTTTAGGCGTATTGATGCTGCATTGCTCACACGTCTAGCAACTAAGGAAGACATTAAACAATTACATTCAATATTTGGGGAGCTGCGCACAGACCAGATTCGCGTAATAAATCTTGTTGAAAAGCTTTTAAATCAACATCAAGCTAACTCTATTTCAGTGCCTCGCCAAGATGCGAGTACACAGTGCCGTGATAAGGGTAGTTGTGACAATGAAAGGAAAACTCGATCGCCGGAAGCCTTGACCGAAAAGTCAAATAACGAGAATTCTGTTGTGGCTCCAAGCGCCGGGTATCAACCAATAAAAGATATGCCCATATTCGCCTTAGACTCACCGCGACAGCCTGCAGCACAATCTACAGCTTACCAACCTAACACACCATGCAACATCAAATCATCTGCAGACAATATGATTCATAATAAACCAAACACGGAACAAAGTATGCTCATGAATGAGTTGGCTCTTAAATATTTACCAAATGAAAAGTTAAATGAATTGCTACACGAACTCAATATATCACCTACGCCACCGAAACAAACTACACCATTACGGCCAATTGAAAACACACAGAAACGACCAAGTGACATTTCAAATGCTTCTTACAAGTACCTTCAGAAATATAGATTGTTACCGGAAGGGAAAAATGAAATCAAAGAACAACTAACGCCAGTGGGCTCGCCTTTGATGCAGGTCGCACAACAACAGCCACAACATCAATCACCCTACCAACAGCGTCTAGCATCACCTTGTATCTTATCGCCGCAAACGGCCATGTTGGATCTGGAACATATTCGACGACAACCCAAACTTATTTAATTCGTGATGTTTATGTAGTAATTTATAAAAAATAAGAATTTTGGAATATTTTTCATTTATACCAATTTATTTAAAAATATTCATCATTCAATGCTTACTAACTATGGTCTTTAGAAAAATTATTTTGATAACCAGTCGGTTACAATCTCTTCAGTTTGGTAATTGTCCACAATCAACTAAATAAAAACAATAAATCAATTTACGTAGTAATTTATTGTTAATATAATAATTTTACCTCTTCGTTTTGCAGCGTAACTTCGTATGGTGGATTGACTTGTGAGTGAAGGATCATGCTCTCTGGTCCTGTAGAAGTCTGATCAGGCGTATGCGCTTTTGCAGCTTCTATATAGGCTGCGCAATCGGCTTCGGCAGCCGCTGCTATCAAAACGGCAGCCTCATTATCAACTTCTTGCTCATCTTCGTTGCCATCTGTATCGTGTTGAGATTGTGAGTTTTGATCCTCTGCCGATGTTATATCATCTAAATCCAACGAACGGTTCGTATCAAAATCGATAAGATGTAAATCCTTCATATGTATTCGTAATGCAGAAACTCGCGCATATTCCGCACCACAAACATAGCAACTGTATTTGGTAGTATCACCGGAACGGTTAAGTTTATTGTGTGTTTTCATGTGTATTTTCACCGAATACAATGAAGCAAAAGGACGATTGCATACTGGGCAATTGTAAGGTTTCGAATGTATATTCCTGTGCGCCGAAAGCTGCACTGAAGTCCGAAACGATTTTGAACAAATTTCACATTTGTATGCCCGTTCCGCATCGTGAGTGCGTAGATGATGAGCATAAACAGGCTGCGACTTGAAACTACACCGGACAATTATAAACCTGCATGAATACTCGTATATTTACAATTAAATGATATGAATTACCGTTTATTGCAAGTGGCGCATACGTATGGTCGTATATCGGTGTGCGTGCGCAGGTGTAGTATCAGCGAATAAGAAACGCGAAAAGTTTTGCCGCACACTTCGCAAGCATGTGGTTTTTCACCAGTGTGTACACGCTCATGGCGCACTTTCTCATACGGGCGCTGGAACGTTCGACCACAGTATTGACAAGCAAACCGACCACTACTATCCGTTTGCTTGATTTGTTGTTTTCGTGGTTTCGCGGGTTTGTCAGCATGCATTTGCATATGCATGTCATAGCTTGTTTTATTTTCAAAGTGACGATTACAGATACCACAATTAAAATCCGTGGATTGTTGATGCATGTTCTTATGTATACCCAGTAGATTCTGTTCAAAACTGAAATTTAAGTGATATAAATGTTTCAAAATCAGTCAAAAAAATAATAAAAAAAAGAATAATAAAAAATAAAAAAACATTAACTTCAGGTGCACCGAAGCTGGAATAGCCTTCAAATATGCAGAGCTTGATTTCGATCGGTGAATTAGTATGGCGGCAATATAATATAGGGTTCCAATTTGAAAAAATTGCTGGAAGATTTTGACGTTGTCCATCGTTGTCCACGTCAAATCTGGTGAAAATATTTTGACAAATCAAAAAAGTTTTCTATAACAACGTAATTTTGATCATGTAGTTTATATGACCGCTATATGTCATAGTGGTCCAATATCGACTGTAGCGACAAATGAGCAGCTTGTTTCAGATATTTCATAAATGAGACTAGTTCGCTTATATACAGACAGATCGACAAGACTAAATCTACTCAACTCTCATTTATATATGTACATATTTTAAAGGGACTAACTTTTGTGTGATACAAAAATCGTGGCAAACTTAATATACCCTTTTCCGGGTATAAAAAAAAGCATGAATTAATTGTAGTCTTAATAAATAAATCCAACCTCTTATTGCATATCTCGCAGAAGAATTTATTCATATCCTTATATTGCGTTTTGGCGCCAGCCGGCAATGCTTGCTCTATTGTTCTCAATTGCTGTGCATCATGAATTTTCATGTGTAACCTAAAGAATTTGTAGTTAGTAAGATTTTACACTTGATGACAATGTATGCATACTTAAGATTTTTATATGAACTGAAATTAGTATTGCAAATCGGACATGTTGGTTTTTTCAATTCTACTACACTAAACGAATCACTTTGTGTTTTAGTATCTTTTGTTTTGTGAATACGGTTATGTATTTGTAAGCCTTGCAGAGAATTAAATGTCTTATCACATTCGGCACAATGATGTTGTACTTCCTTGCTTTGGCTTTTTTTCGATGGGTCCAATGTTTGCTTCTGCTCTTCAACATATAACCGTATATCATTGTCATATTCTTCTTGCTCTACAATGTTATCTGCTTCTTCCTGTTTGACTGTGGTGGTATTTATGGCGCTACAAACATGTTGCTCCGCTTTTTCTAAATCACTAAATACCAGTTGGCAATCACAACAAAAATATTTCTCCCCATCATCTTCATCATCGGTGATGGTTTGCTTTTCCTATAAGATGAGAAATCAATGAGTTTAGTAAGACAAATATACGTATCCTATATTACTTTCATACTTCTTTAACATGCAAAAGGGTATCGGTTGCGATATCGTTATTTTCCTTGACAAAGTTCCTATGTTCAATGATATCCTCACTTGTTTCTAAGTAATTATCCAACTCTTTAGTTTCACTTTCATCCACAATAATCTGCTCTTCTTTTATAATCAGCCAACTGCCGTTTGAGTTTTGAATAATTTGCTCTTCTTTAACTTGTTCATTTTGAAGTCTATCGTTAGTACTATTATTTGTTGAAGCTTTATTAGATACTTTTTTCTGCATTTCTTGATGTACTTTTGTGAAGTCCTCGAG